GTTTGGATGCTACAGTCTGCAGCTCGTATTTGGGTTTATTGGGGCAATTATGAAGACAGTATGCTGCATACATTAGAGGGACTGAGGTCAAATACAGTGTTATTCTCACCAGTACAACTGTGTCTCAGCTGCAGTCTCTTTTCCCAGTAAATTGGCCCACTCTTGATATCATCCACTGAGGAGGAATGTCTTAAACTCCCACAGCTGCCGTCTAATTTGCCGGTAGAATGGTTGATGTGGAAAGGACAGTCATCTTTGTCCCGGACTCTTCCTCTCTCCTCTCTCCTATAAAATGGACAATCCATACAATGGACATGAGCATTGGAGCTTCACAGTGTGGTAAAGACAATCATATTGTGATTATTTTGACAGATATTGCAATATGATTCACTATTAGTGTGGGAATGATAATTTTAACTTCACAATTTTCATTTTGGCTGGAAAAATGCATTTGACAGACAGAGACAGAGAAAGGTGACCAGCAAAAACTCAGAACACAAAAACACAATGAAAAACAAATATCATAATATACAATAGTGCAATAAACTTAGATCTATAGTGAAAGAGCAGCTTTATTGGTCATGATTAAAATAAAAGTATGACATCTGTAAACTACATTCTTGTCTGAATGTTTAATGAGGTAGGAGTAGATTACTTTTTCAGGATTTTAATGTGGAAATTATAGTTTTTGTGTAGACAAAACAGGAAGAAAAAGTTTGTGCAGCTCTTTTTTGTTTGTCAGTATCATTTTGTTGTTTATTCATTTTGGAGAAGAAGCTCAAGTGCACCACTACTCAATGTTATAAATAGGACTAAAATCACTTCCAGGTGAGTTTTTATTTCTCCATGCAATCTAAACAAAAGGTAGAAAGTTATGTAACATTACTGTCATATGATACAGTTATGTTCAGTCTAAGCCTTGTTTCCAGCAGCATAAGGCAGATGTTTTCACTGAAACAGCTCTGATAAAGCCACTGAAGAAATTGCAGATAGACTAGCTGGTGAACATTGTGAAGTATTTGCTAAAGACCAAGATATCTTTTTTTTAAATATGACATTAGAAGAATAAAATACACTATAAATGCACTACATTATAGTTTGTTATAAACCACTTATTTAACGTTTATATACTGCTTATAAAAGCTCAAAGGGAGTTAAAGTAAAGGGTTAAAATCCCAATAACATCTTTATTAAAAATTAAACATAAAAAAATTGAATTACCTCAGTGGAGCATGTGAGGAGGCCAGTGGCAGGGCCAGTGTTGGGGGTGCTGAGGCTGAAGCAGGGGGCAGACCTGTGTGGAACTCCCTCCCTCTTCTCCCTCCTCTCCCTCCTCCTCCTCCTTCTCCTCTTGCACTTGTATCCACCAACAGCCCACAAGCATCACCTCCTTCTCTTCTCTTTCTGTCTCCCTTGCTCCTTCGCCTGGATGCCACCAAGCCGTCCCTCTCGCCTCCTCTCATTCGTTCTTCTTCCCCCTCCTCCTCCCCTTCTTTGTCCCACAGTAGTAGTCCAGCTCTTGCGTCCTCCAGCTGCTGTCTCTCAGGGAGGGACAGCAGTTTGTCCAGGGCCACAGATTCATGACCAAGAGGAGCATTTAGCTCTGTGTCCTGTGACAGGACACCTGAACTGGAGCTGAGAGAGTGGAGGAGGCGGCGCAGCCGCTGTGGCCGAGCTGAATGCAGCACAAGAGGAAGACATGATGGTTCACTTACACTGCGTTGTTTCTAGCAGATGCTTGCTTTTGATGCAAAAAACAACATAATAATGCTTCTATAGAAAAACAAGATAGATTCAGTGATCCCGGTATAATAAATGGAGCAAAGCCTGTGAGCTAGTTCAGGCAGGTAAACTCAAGCTACACTGATTACACACATGACATGCCTTACTCCATAATCACT